TTAGAACCTGTACTTGAGGTCGATCTCGAACCCATTGTTGATGTGATGACTTATATTGAATTTTGTAACTAGCTCATCAAGATTGTAACTTGCTTAGCTAAATGAATTGTGGGGTTCAGTCCCTGAGCCCATTATGTGCCTCTGTAACCCTTTCCACTACCGCCCACAAGATGGGTATGGGGTGCATAATAAATGAACTAAACTAAACTCTAACTCCAAGACTGGTGCTTACAGACGCTTGAGAGATATCCCACATCTTCAACATTCACTTACAACAATGTAACGCTCAAGTCCACTACGGGCTCACCATAGCACTTGCTCCTTGGAACTTTTGTTCCGAGTGTGCCCTCTGGGACCTTTTGTGCCCTCTGTAATGCTTTTTGCGCTACCGCTCACAGGATGAGTATGGGGTGCACAATAAACTAGCGGCCTTCGGCGGCAACAATCAAAAGTCCAGACGTTCGCTAGTCGTCAAGATTGAAGAGTCCCCCTCCCCATCCCCCCCCCCCCAAGTGACGGCGATACCTATAGTAAGAAAACTTTGGATACTTGACTAAGATTCCTGGTAGTACATAATGCTTCATAGCAGGTAAATGTAAATCCTGTATTTGAAGTTCATTTGTGAACACAAACAAATCAGTTTTTTCGTACTCAGCTTGTCTGGGTGAGAACCAAGCTTGAACAGCGAATTATAGGAGAGGTCTGCCGGGCCGGAACTGGAAAATGACGTCACTGGTAGGTGGCGTCAAAAGTTGACGTCACTAGTGGGTGGAGCCTAAGAACAAACTGTTTCATTAATGACGTCACAATGAGGACACGCTCAACACTCCCGTCTTATGACTTACTGTTCACAGCTCAGTTTAATATCCGCCGTCCTCGCCTTCTTCTGCTGAATTTTACCGAACAATTTTCTTTCCTTTCTTTTACGGTATACTAAAGACGTTTTCGCTGTATCTTTCGCTGTAAATTTCTCTCCCTTAGAATGATGAGTTGTGTTGATTTAGGAGCGACGACGATCGTGGGCTTAGAACAAGTCGCAATTGAAGGCAGAGTATATAAAAGTCTATGCTAGTGTGTTCAGCGTTTTCTCTGTTTACAGGAGTCATGGTTAAAGAGAATGCTATCAGGGGAGACTTTTATAAAACAAACAATAAAAAAAATCAAATCAAAATCAATATGTTTATTCAGTTAAAAGTACATACATAGAAGATGAGTTACAAACATAATGTTGAATTTATAGATAGAGCTAGTACGTACAATACCTAAAGCCACTAACACGTACAGCGTTTCGAGCAAGGTGTGGGAAAAATACCCCCACTTAGACTAAAGCTTAATGCTAGTTGAGATTAAAGTATAAATTGTGGTGAAAACGGAAAAAGGGTGGAGGGGAGGGGGAAACATGGCAAAAATCAGAAATGATACAACTTGGTCAACAAACAGTTTTGTTTGAAAATAGCAAGACATGGGTTGACATTTAGGGGGGTAAGGTAGGTTACATGGAGTTAATTAGGTAGTGCTTAGTTATTCTCTTAAACTAATTGGGAGAGGTATGGCCTTTGACATGATTGGGAAGGTTATTCCACATTTTGGGTCCCTTGATTTGTGAAGCATTTCTAGGTTGGTTAAGTCGAACTCTTGAAATATCGAATAGGTATGTAACGTACGATTATGTTACGTTGTTGGGTAGATTAGATACACAGTGTTTAGTGAGTTTCATATTTATTTAGTAGTCCTGGATACAGCAGTGTCGTAGACGTTGAGACGGAGCTTGGAGCAGAGCAGAGAGCTGAGTGTGGCCGGAGTCGCGGAGCTCTATGTGGGAGAGCGTTGTAGCTGGATGAGGTCCTAGTCTGCTGCCTGTTCTGTGTCAAAGCTGTAGTATCTTGGGGTCGATTAGAACTGCATACGCCGAGCGCTACATTCTTGACTGTCGAAATTGTACTGTTATCTATTCTCATATCGCTTCCTTATATTTAGTGACTACCCCTCACCTGCCTCTACTAGGATAGGAGGATGTGAGAATGAAGTGTTTGCCAGGGTGCTTAAAGAATGCAAAGAGGAGTTTTCCGAGCCACTGTCTACCATATTTAATAAATCAATAGAGTTAGGCAGAGTGCCAGAGTCATGAAAGGTAGCTAATGTGGTACCAATTTTTAAGAAAGGAGATAGATCACTTGCGTCAAACTATCGGCCAATTAGCCTAACGTCAATTGTGGGAAAGTTACTTGAATCGATAATTGCAAATACAATTCGTCTTCATCTTGAAAAACATAAATTAATAAATGAGTCGCAACATGGTTTTACAAATGGCCGTTCATGTTTAACAAATTTGCTATCTTTCTATTCCAGCATAGTTGAGGCAGTTGATAGTGGTAAGGATTGTGATGTTGTGTACCTTGACTTTAGCAAAGCTTTTGATACAGTGCCACATGAAAGACTGATTAAAAAAATAGAGGCTCATGGTATTGGGGGTGCTATATTAAGCTGGATTAGGGCATGGCTATACCAAAGGAAACAGAGAGTTAGTATGGCTTTTACTAGTTTTTACTTTTACTTTACACTAGTACTAGTGGCTTTACAAGAATGTAATTAATATGCTATGTATCCTCACAATCCCAATGAACCTTCTTGTATATAAATAAATAAATAAATAAATAAGTATAAATGGGGTTAAGTCAGAGTGGGATAATGTTGTTCGTGGAGTGCCTCAAGGTTCTGTCCTGGGACCTCTGTTGTTTATAATATATATAAATGATTTAGATTCAGGTTTGAGTAGCAACATTTGCAAATTTGCAGTTGATACAAAAATCGGTAGGGAAATTAACACGGAAGAAGACTCACTATCACTTAAAGTTGATCTAAACAGGGTTTTGAAATGGTCAAAAGATTGTCAGATGCAGTTTAATGATGATAAATGTAAAGTTCTGAGGCTAGGTAATGATGATAGAGTTACAAGATACGAGTTAGATGGTGTTGAGATTGCGAAGTCGGATTGCAAAAGGGATCTGGGAGTTATGATTAGTAAGAATTTAAAACAAAAGAATCAATGCATGAATGTTCGTAATAAGGCAAATAGGACCCTGAGATTTATTAATCGAAGCGTTAGTAACAAGACACCTGGTGTTGTTCTTCAGCTATATCTTGCTCTGGTTAGGCCCCACTTAGATTATGCAGTTCAGTTTTGGTCGCCATACTATAGAATGGATATAAATTCACTTGAACGTGTCCAGTGTAGGATGGCAAAGTTAATTCCCCAAATTAGAAATCTTTCATCATACGAAGAAAGATTAACAAAGCTTAAATTGCATTCACTGGAAAGGCAAAGAGTTAGGGGTGACATGATAGAGGTTTACAAGTGGATGAATGGACATAACAAAGGGGATATTAATGGAGTATTAAAAGTATCAACGCAAGACAGAACGCGAAACAATGGGTATAAATTTGATAAGTTTAGATTTAGGAAAGACATGGGTAAATACTGGTTCGGTAACAGGGTTGTTGGTTTGTGGAACCAATTACCGCGTAACGTGGTGGAGGTGGGGTCCCTCGATTGTTTCAAGCGCGGGTTGGACATGTATATGAGTGGGATTGGGTGTTTATAGATAGGAGCTGCCTCGTATATGAGCCAATAGGTCTTCTGCAGTTACCTTTGTTCTTATGTTCTCTGAAAATGGTCTTTTTTTTTTTTTTTTACAAATTTTCGGTCTTAATCTCTTAAATAAACTTCTATGATTATATGGACTCTGAAAAATTTGAATTTCTCCCATAAGAACTCTTTTAAGAACGTATGAGTGAATTTGAAAAAAAAAATGACCGTAGAGTTTATTCTCAAAAAGATGGGAGCAAACTTTGCCCCTGAATTTTTCTATAAGAAACTTCTATGAACATATGAACTCTGAAATTATTTTCAATTTCTGCCACAAGAAACCTTTAACTCCAAATCGGAAACTGAGAAATTTATCAGGAAACCGACACGCCAGCGAGAAATGGAAAATTTACCGGGAAACTCTTGCTGCGCAGCGACAAATGGACCCCTAAAATTTTATTTGTTGCTGCGCCGCCATTCCTACACCTGCGCCACTCTGGGGTCACCCTGCACCTGTGCCACTCTGGGGTCACCCTACACCTGCGCCACTCTGGGGTCACCCTGCACCTGCGCCACTCTGGGGTCACCCTACACCTGCGCCACTCTGGGGTCACCCTGCACCTGCGCCACTCTGGGGTCACCCTACACCTGCGCCACTCTGGGGTCACCCTACACCTGCGCCACTCTGGGGTCACCCTACACCTGCGCCACTCTGGGGTCACCCTACACCTGCGCCACTCTGGGGTCACCCTACACCTGCGCCACTCTGGGGTCACCCTACACCTGCGCCACTCTGGGGTCACCCTACACCTGCGCCACTCTGGGGTCACCCTACACCTGCGCCACTCTGGGGTCACCCTACACCTGCGCCACTCTGGGGTCACCCTACATCTGCGCCACTCTGGGGTCACCCTACACCTGCGCCACTCTGGGGTCACCCTACACCTGCGCCACTCTGGGGTCACCCTACACCTGCGCCACTCTGGGGTCACCCTACACCTGCGCCACTCTGGGCTGGGGTCACCCTACACCCCCGCCACTCTGGGCTGGGGTCACCCTACACCCCCGCCACTCTGGGCTGGGGTCACCCTACACCCCCGCCACTCAGGGCTGGGGTCACCCTACACCCCCGCCACTCTGGGCTGGGGTCACCCTACACCCCCGCCACTCAGGGCTGGGGTCACCCTACACCCCCGCCACTCTGGGCTGGGGTCACCCTATAGGTCTTCAGTCCACTCTGTAACAACATTTTCTTACCTCCTGTCTCAAGTCACTTTTCATTTCATTCTGTAGACGTCTGCCTGCCGCCTACTGTTGCCTTCCTTCCAAGGCAGAGTCCCCCTCACCCTCTCCCCCGCGCCAAGGAGAGGCGAGCGTGAGTGAGTGCGCGCTGCTGAGTGTAGTTGGTCGCGGTCGGTGGAGCCTGGCGGACACTCTCCTTTTTCACTGCCAGGGTCATCCCTCGCCCCGCCGCCAGACCTGCACTGTCTAGCCCTCGTGGTCCGCCCCGCCCTAACAATTGTCGTATCCACAAGCCTTTACATACCCTCAAGTCTAATTCCTTAATAAAGTGCTCTCTTGGAACGCGCCGAGTGCCGTAAACTAGTGGAGGTGTGCTAGTATTTCCCATAGTATTTGTGGTGAGGGAACCTCAGGTGACGCCAGGTGGCCTCAGGTGACGCCAGGTGGCCTCAGGTGACGCCAGGTGGCCTCAGGTGACGCCAGGTGGCAACAAGGTACTCATTGTTCACTTAAGGTGTTATCAATTGACCCCAAGGAACTATAGTTGCTTTGGGAAGCATTAAGTGGAAAGCGTTTGGTTGGAAGTGACCTCAGTTGACCTCAAGTGCTGCCAAGGGGCTCTCGATGACCCGTGGCACCAGCTGAGTCTCCGTGACGATGGACTGGTTGCTGGTTGTCCTCGCTGCCTTCGTCATCAACTCCGTCAAGGGTGAGTACAAGAGACACCAGACTCTTCGTCTCAACCTCTCACCCTTCCTTACATTAGTTCTCTCTCACACTCCGTCCTCGACACCAGCTCTTAACCAAGTACTTCGGCCTCCAGCGCCTCCAGCCTGGGCCTCCAGGGCCTCCAGCTCCTCCAGCCAGGGCTTCCAGCTCCTCCAGCCTGGGCCTCCAGCACCTCCAGCCAGGGCTTCCAGCTCCTCCAGCACCTCCAGCCTGGGCCTCCAGCACCTCCAGCGCCTCCAGCCTGGGCCTCCAGCACCTCCAGCCTGGGCCTCCAGCCAGGGCCTCCAGCACCTCCAGCCAGGGCCTCCAGCACCTCCAGCCTGGGCCTCCAGCCTGGGCCTCCAGCACCTCCAGCCTGGGCCTCAGCGCCTCCAGCCTGGGCCATGTAAACATACATAACACACAAATAATCCAGACCCCAACCTGTCCAGTGATAATAATGAACACTCAAACTGCGGGAAATTTGTAGTTTGTTGTGTGTCTCCCAAACCTGTCACTGAACTGTGTGTGTGTGTATATACTGTATGTATATATATATATATGCGAACAAGCCTGAATGGTCCCCAGGACAATATGCAACTGAAAACTCACACCCCAGAAGTGACTCGAACCCATACTCCCAGGAGCAACGCAACTGGTATGTACAAGACGCCTTAATCCACTTGACCATCACGACCGGACAAAATGAGGTGATTGCCGAAGCTATTTGAACCACCCCACCGCCGGCACTCGTTACTCGTTTGTGTTCCTCACGTGTTGCCCCAAAGAATGAGGTGATTTGGTAAAATGCTATGCCCAAGATTACCATCCGAGTGCCGGCGGTGGGGTGGTTCAAATAGCTTCGGCTATCACCTCATTTTGTCCGGTCGTGATGGTCAAGTGGATTAAGGCGTCTTGTACATACCAGTTGCGTTGCTCCTGGGAGTATGGGTTCGAGTCACTTCTGGGATGTGAGTTTTCAGTTATATATATATATATATATATATATATATATATATATATATATATATATATATATATATATATATATATATATATATATATATATATATATATATATATATATACACAAACGTGTGTGTGTGTGTGCAATCTTTAATACTTTTTTTAGGACACAGTGGGCAGTCAGAGGGTGGGAATAACAAAAGATATTTTGTGATATTTATGTGCCCCCCCCACCCCCTCCCCCCCACACACAAGAGAAAGATCTGGGGGTTGATATCACGCCAGACCTGTCCCCTGAAGCCAACACCAAAAGGATAACATCAGCGGCGTATGAATGGCTGGCAAAAATAAGAAGTGTCTTCAGAAACATGTGTAAGGAATCATTCAGAACCTTGTACACCACATATGTCAGACCATTACTGGACTATGCGGCTCCAGCGTGGAGTCCACATCTAGTCAAACACAGAACGAAGTTAGAAAAGTTTCAAAGGTATGGCATCAGACTTTTCCTCGAGATGAGGGGTATGAGCTACAAGGAAAAGTTATTGGAACTAAACCTCACGACATTGGAAGACAGAAGAGTTAGGGGAGACATGATCACTACCTATAAAATTCTCAATTCTCTGAAATTGACAGGGTAGATAAAGATAAACTGTTTAACACGGGTGGTACGCGAACAAGGGATGACAGGTGGAAAGTGAGTACCCAAATGAGCCACAGGGACGTTAGAAAGAACTTTTTCAGTGTCAGAGTAGTTAGTAAATGGAATGCATTAGGCTGTGATGTGGTGGAGGCTGACTCCATACACAGTTTCAAATGAAGATATGATAGAGCCCAGTAGGCTCAGGAATTTGTATACCAGTTGATTGACAGTTGAGAGGCGGGACCAAAGAGCCAGAGCTCAACCCGCAAGCACAACTAGGTGAGTACAACTAGGTAAATACACAAAACAGGGAGTCTTTCACCCTGGAGTGGAGATTTCAATGCAAATAGTGAGCTCCCCCCCCCCTGCAGGATAATACCCAACACTGCTGGAGAACACTGTGCCGTCACCAGCAAGGTGAGGGAGTTGGTACCCCTGAGTGACGTGACGTAATAGTACACGTATTACAATACGTGTAATATTGTATTATTACAATAATAATAATGTGTAATAATTCCTGTTGATCTGTCGTCTCGCTTGCTCCTGCCGTTGTCTTTGGTCTCTCTGGTCATCTACTTTACCCCCCCCCCTCCCCACCCCACCCACACACACACGCACGCACGCACGCAGTTTTCTTTTGTAAACAAGAGTGGTAGACTGTTAGAACAAGTGAGAAGGTGGAGGACATAGCCGTCAGTAGTTCCAAGGTGTTATACGACAAAGAGTACTGGTATGACGGGACACCACCAGCGTAGCGCTCATCCTGTAACTACACTTAGGTAATTACACATATACCAATCAAGCTGTCAATGTAATCAATCAGAGCTTTAATATACCAATGTGCTTTAATATACTTACTAATCTCTCTCATCTCATTTTTTTTCTTGCAATGTATCTGTTATCATTTTATTAATTCTGCTAGAATTTACCTAGTTAAAATTATCTGTTAGATTAAGGACCTGCCCGAAACCCTGCGCGTACTAGTGGCTTTACAAGATTGTAAATACCATGCTATGTATTCTCTCTAGCCCAATGTACCTTCTTGTATATAAATAAATAAATAAATACAGCCTGGGTAAGAGGTTTGTGGACCTGGTGCAGGAGGCGGGCCAGGAGGCGGGCCAGGAGGCGGGCCAGGAGGGGCAGTGTCCCTTGTGCCCAACTGGTCATTCACCTTGGCCGTGGGAGGAGGCAGGTCCACCTGCTACACCGGACACCCTTCTCCACGCTGTCTTGGTGGGCCGTGGGTGGGGTGTGGTGGGTGGTGGGTGGGGGTGTGATGTTTGGGTGGTGTGGTGGGTGGTGTGGTGTGTGATGTGGTGGGTGATGTGTGGTGTGATGTGTGGGTGGTGTGGTGGGTGATGTGGTTGGTGTGGTGTGATGTGTGGGTGGTGTGGTGGGTGATGTGTGGTGTGATGTGTGGGTGGTGTGGTGGGTGATGTGTGGTGTGATGTGTGGGTGGTGTGGTGGGTGATGTGTGGTGTGATGTGTGGGTGGTGTGGTGGGTGATGTGGTTGGTGGGGTGTGATGTGTGGGTGGTGTGGTGGGTGATGTGGTGTGTGTGGGTGGTGGGTGGTGTGGTAGGTGGGGTGTGATGTGTGGGTGGTGTTTCGGGTTGTCATACCTTACCTTGAGCATACCTTGATAGGGTTCTGGGAGTTCTACTCCCCAAGCCCGGCCCCTGACTTGTCAGAGCTTGGTCCAACAGGCTGTTGCTTGGAGCGGCCCGCAGACCCACATATCCACCACAACAAAGACATCACTTTGTTCTTGCATGCCGGTTGGTCCGGCACTTCTTGAAGATCAGTTGAAGATGTCCACGGTTGTTCCGGCAATATTTCTTATACTCGCTGGGAGGACGTTGAACAACCGCGGACCTCTGATGTTTATACAGTGTTCTCTGATTGTGCCTATGGCACCTCTGCTCTTCACTGGTTCTATTCTGCATTTCCCTCCGTATTGCTCATTCCAGTACGTTGTTGTTTTACTGTTTTTACCATTGGGACCCTGTACTGACCCTCCAATATATGGAAAGTACTGACCCTCCAGTACTTTCCATATATTATATGGAAATATACAAATATGTAAATTATTTTATACCTCTCTCGTCTCCTTTCTAGTGAGTGCATTTTGAGAGCTTTGGGACGATCCCAATCGGTTGATTGCTTTATCGCGTCTATGTATGCCGTATATGTTGTCTATTCCCTCTATTTCAGCGATCTCTCCTGCTCTGAAGGGGGAAGTGAGTACTGAGCAGTACTCAAGATGGGACAGCACAAAGGACTTGAAGAGTACAACCATTGTGATGGGATCCCTGGATTTGAAAGTTATCGTAATCCATCCTATCATTTTTCTGGCTGTCGCAATATTTGCTTGGTTATGCTCCTTAAACGTTAGGTCGTCAGACATCATTATTCCCAAAACCTTTACATGCTGCTTTCTTAGTATTGGCAGAGTTGATTGTGTTTTGTACCATGTATTATGTTTAAGGTCTTCATTTTGACCGTACCTGAGTACCTGGAATTTATCACTGTTAAACATCATGTTATTTTCTGCTGCCCAGTCGAAAACTTTATTAATATTTGCTTGTAGTTTGTGGTATGGTGCGTGGGTGGTGTGTGTGTGTGTGTGTGTGTGTGTGTGTGTGTGTGTGTGTGTGTGGGGGGGTGACCACACACACAGTGGGGGTTACATAAGGAGAGGGCAGAGTGTGGTCAGCAACTACAGGAGGCCATGCGTGCAGGAGGCAAGCATGGCGCCCTTATATGGCACTCCCGTTATGTCCTCATACACATCCTCCCCCCTCCTCCTCTCCACCTCCTCCTCCTCCACCACCACCTCCTCCACCACCACCACCACCTCCTCCACCACCACCTCCTCCTCCTCCACCACCACCTCCTCCACCACCACCTCCTCCTCCTCCTACTACATCACGTCCTCCTCCTCCACCTCCTCCTCCTCCTACTACATCACGTCCTCCTCCTCCACCTCCTACACCACCTCCTCCTCCTCCTACACCACCTCCTCCTCCTCCTACACCACCTCCTCCTCCTCCCCCTCCTCCACCACCTCCTCCTCCTCTCCACCTCTCCTCCACAACTATCTCTATCCTTTCAGTCTCATATTTATTCTTCCTTTCTTCCCTTCCCTACCCCTCAGTTCTTGAGTTTTCCTCCTCGTCTTCCTCCTCCTAATCTTTGTTATCTGTCTGGTTATCCTTCCAGTCTTGCTATCTTGACTCCTTTCCTCTCCCCTGTGTTGCTCTGTGTGTTCTCTCCTTGAGTAATTACCTAAGTGTAGTTACAGGATGAGAGCTACGCTCGTGGTGTCCCGTCTTCCCAGTACTCTTTGTCATTTAACTCTTTGAAACTGCTGATGGTTTTGGCCTCCAC